CTTCAAACCAGACTTCTATAGAGAAAGAAGGATGGATTTGGCACACACACAAAACTGAAAAACTGTAATTTGAAATCCCAGTTTGTAACCCTGGTGGGCTGCTCAGCTGGATCTCAGAGCCTGGTTTTCCATGCCCTGGCTCAGCCTCTGCTTTTTCTTGTTGCTAACTTGGGAGTTCTCATTTGTATCATATCCCTGAAATAAGCACAACAAGCCTAGAGATGGCCTGTCAGAGTCAGCTGTTTATATTCCTCCTGAAGTTTGCCTGGAGAGCACAACGCTCATTAAACAATTTTTCATGCATTGATGATTTTTTTCTTCTTTTTCTTTTTCTTTTCTTTTACAACAGCTTTCTGAAAAAGAGATGGGCTTGAGAGTTAGTGCAACTAGTGCATAATATGAGTAAGTCAATAGGTAAGTAAAGATTCTTTTAAGATGCTAAAATATCATTTTTTCAAATTGTAAGGGCTTCAAAGTCATTAGGGTTTGTCATTTCAATATGTTAGTAAGGACTTCTATAAATGAAGATTAATAATGCTAAGCATAATTAGCATTGAAGAAACTCACACATATCTCAGTATTTAGAAACTCCATGCAAAAGTGAACAGCATCAAGTTCTTGTTGAACGTACCTAAGCTCTGTTTCTGCTATGAGAGTAAGGGGAAGAAGTTCTATGACACAATGCAAAATTAAACTCCCAGTATCTTTGGAAATCAATAGTAGCTGAGCTGCACAACTCTGATTTGTGCTTTTTCAAAAATCCCCTATATACAGTGAGTGCAGATGATTTACTAAATCCAGTCCTCTTATCATCTTTGTGGCCTCCTCTGGACTTGCTCCAACAGTTCCATGTCTTTCTTATGTTGAGGACACCAGAACTGCATGCAGTATTCCAGGTGGGGTCTCACAAGAGCAGAGGGGGAGAATCACCTCTTTTGACCTGCTGCCCACACTCCTTTTGATGCAGCCCAGGATTCCATTGGCTTTCTGGGCTGCTAGTGCACACTGCTGACTCAGTGTGAGCTTCTCATCCACTGTCACTCCCAAGTCTTTCTCCTCACT